GCCACCAGGGAGGGCCAGAGGTAACTTTTTTAATGTCTCTTTTTTTGTAAAGGATTTAAGGTAAAAGAGATCAATAAGGTAATTTATTTAAAGAAATCTGATATATAACTAAAATTGTTCACAGTCCTGATAGGTTTGTGAGTGAGACTCGTTTCTAAGGGATCATCCTTCCAACTCACAGCTCACCCATCTTCAGCAAAGTTTACATTGCTATGTTGCTGTGCTTTCCAGGCTAAGGGGGAGTGTGATGGATTACATGTGGAGAATAGTGTGGCCTAGCTGGGACATGGCACCTACCACTTTTGTTCACTGCCAGGGCAGGAGTTCCCTTCTGCAGCCACTCCTAGCCATCGCAGGAGCTAGGAAGTTTGACTGTTTACTCAGGAAATAGAGGAGGTGCCAAGCATTCCATAGTCCTGCCACAGTATCTAGTAATACACATTTCAAAGGTAATTGAAGAAAAGATGCCAGTTTGTAATATTTTCTTTTTAGTTCATAGACGTATAGACATATGGCAACCTTAGATATTTTAGGCTATGGAAGAGGCAAATTTGTATTGCTAAGTATATTGTCATTTTTCTGTCTTTAAGTACATGTGTACATTTAACCTCTTTTCTAATTTCAATTTGTAGGGCCCTTTGAAAGGACGCAGAGTTGAAGGAATTCAATATGAAGACATTTCTAAACTTGCCTGAGTTTGAAAGTTTGTTAACAACACATTAAAATCCTAAAGCATCAAATTGGTGTTCACCAAGATTTTGTGAGACTCTACTGTGTTAGGGTGTTTCTTTTGTATAAAATGAATGAATTTATTTAAATGTTACTGTATAGTTGTTTTCCTTAACCTACAGAGGAATCTAATAATGTGTCGTGTATCAAAATTATGTAATTTTGTTCTTGTTTTTTTTTTTTTTCTTTTTTATTGTTTCTTTGTTGTTTTTTAACCTTTCATTAAAAGAAAGTTATTGTAAAGTGTTTTATATAAGACATTTTAGAGCATCGAATTGCAGGAAACGCTTCATATATGTTAAATTTATATTTTCAGTACTGAAGTCACACAACTGAACTATAAATATATTTTAAAAGTTACACTGTAAATATAATAGCCTTACTGGGATATAATTCATATACCACTCAGTTTAACTATTTAAAGCATATGATTCATTGGTTTTTATTTTTTAAAGATCTATATATGCATACAAGAACTGGGGTACAAACCAGAGTTACAGGAGGGTGAAAGTATTTACCAGAGACAGACTGGGGAGCAGAGCAGGTAGATTGAAATACACTGTTGAGGGGAGCAGTGGGAAAGACAGGAGTGATCTTCCATGTCATGTGGGTCACTTCTGTGACCAGGGATCGAACTCCGTGCTTCAGTGTCTGTGGATAACTTTGCAGTGCTGCACTTCAACCCCTGCACTACCAGAGAGGCCAATTCAGTGTTTTTTAGCATAGTTACAGAACTGTGTGACCATCATGACTAATCTTAGAACATTTTCATTATCTTAGAAAACCTATATCCTTCATCACTCCATGTTCTCCCTCTCTCCCCAGCCCCTGGCAACCACTCATCTACTTTCCATATCTATAGATTCACCTACTCTGGACATTGCATGTGAGTGGAATCATACACTATCTGTACTTTATGACAGACTTCTTTCATATAGCATCATGTTTTCAAGATTAATCATATTGTTGGCTGTATCAGTATTTTCTTTTTGTTAGCAGTTAACACTCCATTGTGTGGATAGACCACATTATTTTTTCTTAATCCATTCATCAGGTGATGGACATTTTGCTGTTTCTGCTTTGACTATTATAAATAATGTAACTGTGAACACTTAGGTAGATTTTGTATGATCATATGCTTTCTGTTGCTAGGAGTGGAGTCACTGAGTAATAAGTGTAACTCAGTGTTAGATAACTATGTTCAACATTTTGAACAACTGCCAGAGATTCAGTGATGGACAACTTTATTAGAGCCTGATCTCTGACTTGTGTGCTGGCTCCCTTTTTAAGGTCTCTTACAACCACAAGATAACTGTCAACTTCTCCAGCTTTACATCTTACCCTTCATCACAGTTCAGACAACAGACCTGGAATTGAGTCCTATTAGTCCACATCTGGAAATCATTTTAAAGGATTAGATTATCGTAATTGGCTAATCTGGGGTCCTGTGCGAATCCTTGGACCTTCTCTCTCTCCAATGTAGAATGTGGAGTAAATTATACTCTGAGTTAAAGGGAGACTATGCTAGTAATTAGAAATAATAAAAGGCAGCATAGAAAATAGTCATAGGATGATGCTGGTAGCAGAGGACATTCTCTCAGGATGTTCTGAAATTAACAGAGTAGTAACATGGAAAGGACTGGTATTTGCAGTTGGGGCAGATTTTACATCGAACTTTGGCTCTTTATTCACTACTGTATAACCATAGGAAAGTGAATATTCTTGAATTTCGGTGTTTTTCATATCTATGTTGTCAGATACAATGTGTCCCTGCAGGGTGATTGTCGGAACTATAAAAGAATAAAATGTCAGAAAGTCCAGCACTTAGTATTTATGATTGGTAGTAAGCAGAAAAGGCAGCAGATGGAGCTACGCATTTGTAGCTTGGTCTTGTGTTAATCTGGCCTGAAGACTTAATGAAGAGAATGGTTTTCCCTATAGTAGTGAGATAAAACATGACAAGTTTCATATGCCTCCCTCAAATCCTTATATTTGCAATCAACTGCTTTTCTTCATAGGGAAAAAAAAAGTCTCATTCCTAGCTCTCATACTTAATTCTTCAATGTCTTTCTGAAATTAATAAAACAAAGTAACATAATTTAGCTTGAAATTGATTTTTTACAATTCTGAAGAACAGAAATGTGATTCTACACTAGAATTTTTTTATTCTAAATTCTTAGAAGTCAGTAGTGGTTAAGCAAAGTGATGGCAGATACCTACAATCAAATCTTATGCCGATGTACTTTATTTTAAAGCATCCTAAGCTATTCTTAAATAGACTTTTTTTTTTAAAAAAATATTTATTTGTGCATACAGAACTGGGGTACAGGCCAGAGGCTCAGGGATGGCGAGAGGCTTCACCAGAGACAGAGAGGGGAGCAGAACAGGCAGATCGACAAAGTACACTGCTGAGGGGAGCAGCCGGCGGGTCTGGAGAGGTCTGCCACACCATGTGGTCACCTCCAGGGTAGGCGGGAATCGAACTCATGCAGAAGTGGCTTTAGCTTCTCAGTGCAGTGCTTTAACCTGCTGCATCACCAGGGAGGGCCCTAAATAGACTTTTAATGCAATTACAGGTTCATGACAAAATTGAGCAGGAGGTACAAAGATTTTCCATAGAAGCCATTACTCCCTACCCCACAGCCTCCCCCACTATCAGCATTCCTCTTCCCCACCGCAGCAGAGTATTTGTTATAACTGGTGAACCTACAGTGATACGTCCATTATCATCCAAAGCCCATAGATTGCATTAGGTTCACCTTTAGTGTTGTTTGTTCTACTGGTGTGAACAGATTTATAATGAAACATATCTAACATTATAGCATATAGATTTATAATGAAACATATCTAACATAGCATATAGAATAACTTCACCAGCCTAGAAATCTGCATCCCACCTACTCATCCCTCCTCCCCACCCAATCCCAGACTTTTTTACTGCCTCCTAGTTTTGCCCTCTCCAGCAGGTCATATAATTGGAATTACGGCACGTCAAGTCTCTTCAGATTGACTTTACTAAGTGATAAACATTTGATTTTTCTCCATGTCTCATAGCTTGATAACATTTCTTTTTAGCAATGAATAATACTCCATTGTCTGAGTGTACACAGTTTATCCACCTACTGAAGATTTCTTGGTTGTATTCGAGTTTGGCAATTATGAATAAAGTTGCTATTAAAATACATGCATAGATTTTATTTTTCATACATCAGTTTTTAGCTCCTTTAGGTAAACACCAAAGGAGAGTGACAGTTGAACAAGTGGTGAGAGTATGTTTAGCTTTATAAGAAACTTTTTCATCAGAAACTGTCTACCAAAATGGTATCATTTTTTATTGCCACCAGCAATGAGTAAGAGTTCCTCTTGTTTCACTTCCTCATCAGCATTTGATGTTGTCAGTGTTTGGCATTTTGGCCCTTCTGATAGAAGTATTGTGATAGCTCATTTTAATTTGCAATCCCTAATGACATGATGCTGAGCCTTCTTTTTTTTTTTTTTTTTTTTTTTTAAATGCATACAAGAGCTGGGGTGCAGGCCAGAGATGCAGGAGGGAAGGAGTGAGACGATTCACCAGAGACAATTCACCAGAGACAGAGTGGGGAGCAGAATAGGCAGACAGACTGATATACACTGCTGATTTTATCAGGGGATGAAAGAGAGGAGGTGTGCTGCGCCATGTGGGTCAGCTCCCTGACTCGGGATTAAACTGGTGCTGTAGTCCTGAGACTTAAGCCTTTGTGGCACCAGGGAGGTCCCATGCTGAGCATTTTTTTCATGTTTGCTATCTGTTTATCTTTTGTGGGAAGATGTCTGTGTAAGTCTTTTGCCTATGTTTTAATTGGGTGGTTTGTTTCCTTTAATTGTTAAGTTTTAAATTATTTGTATGGTTGGATACCTATCAGGTATGTCTTTTGCAAATATTTTCGCTCAATCTATGCTTTCTGGAAAGTTTGGGATTGCTTGAGATTATCTCAAATCATTGGCATTGGTGTCTTGGGAAATTAAATTCCCTGAGTCTTCTTCATTAAGAATGCCATAATCCCATTGCCTTATTTGCTGCTTTTTCCTTGAATGCTTCTAATTTCTGTCCATTTTTGCTGACTTGAGTAAATGCATTCAATGAACATTTACTGAGTCTCCAGGGATTTAGCCTTTGCAGTAGGTGCTAGAGAAGTATGTATAAGAAGCAGGTATAGCCCCAAAATGAATGCTGTGGAGAAACATTCAATGAATTAGTTTCAAAATATTAAGTCAAGGAAAAGAAACTAATCTGAACTAGCTAATTAAGAATCTGTGCCGACTTGACTAGGCCTCATTAATCGACTATTAACTGAAACTAGCATACCCCTTAGTTTCACTTTTGGTTAAAAGGGAGTCACAGAATTAGGGCCTTCCTGATGGTACAGGGGTTAAAGTCTTAGAGCTATCAAGCTACAGCCAACTATTGATATTTCAGAAAAAGTCACCCATTAGAGGTGAAAAAAATGTTGAGAAAAGAATAACAACTCTAATTCTTAAAACATAAATAATTTTACCCATAGGTAATTTTTATTTTGACCTATCTGGTCCTGGAGTCACTTCATTCTCTTCTGATTGGAATAAGACTGAAAAGCAGATGCTACTTTTATGTTAAGTAATCCTTTAAAGTATGTGGAATGATTTGCATAAACCCTTGTACCAGTAGATACTAAAATAACTCTTGATTCACAGTTCACTTTTGATACACACTGACACACTCTTAAATCTTTTTTTAAAAATTCATTTCTTTGAACTGCCAGTTTTCCAACTCTTAAGAAAATGTTTAATTTTCAGTAATTTAAAAACTCAAGTATAAACAGATGACAGCGATATGATCTGAGTATGTTTATTCTCAAACATAGACTCATTTTTCCTGAATAAATAAATATATATATATTTAATTGGTTTAATGGATTATGTTGAGAGTGATGCATGGGAAAAGCTTTGAAGGTAGGCTACATAAGTCCTAAAGATGATTTATATAAAAAATACCAGCTCTGTAATATCCCAGCTAAGATTTAGATTGGATATCACCACTATATACAGAATTAAATATTGATCAATTACTAATGTGTTGCAGGATGCTCCAGAGAATAAAGAAGCATAATACAAGTAGTTGTAGTGTTTTTCAACATCACAGAAAGCTAATACTTTCAGAAACTAAATGGACATGGTGGAATAGTTCTTTGCTTGCCAGCGATTCCCATTAGTTTGGTTCCTTCATTTCAAATTCAAAATTGATTATTCCTTTTTAATTCAAAATTATATATAGAAAACATTTCTGGCTTCAGGTATGTATACAAACAAAATAAAATTTTTATAGGCAAAGAATTTTGAAAACACCAGCTATTAATAAAAGCTTTGATAATTGTAATGAGTTTAATTTTAAATCTAGTTTCTTTTGATGTTACTCTTGCTCCCAACTCCAAAGTTGTTCATGGCTTTTAAAACTACTGAAGTACTAAGAATCAAACTAAACTTACATACTTGAAAGTAGAAGTTGTAAAGTTTAAATTTTCACCAAGGAGCAGTAACAGTACAAATAACAAAGGGTGCCCGGAGCCTCCCCCAGGAGCTAAGGGTGTAAGGTAGAACCCAACCCTGAACAGGATGCCTTTTGTAGTACACACCATGCATAAACCCACATTTACTGAGGAACACTTGAGACAAACCAAAAAACCTCATGTGCACAGCTCTGGGATGTTGGAGGAAACCAGAATTCCAAGACAAAAAGCCCAGCAGACTTGGGGAGAACGTGCAGATCCGAATGGATGGTAGTATGGTAGAGAATCAGTATTTTTCTCATCAACATAATGAAACATTGTTGAACAAATTGAGGTTGTTCATGGGCAAGCTATGCATATAATTATATATATGTATATGTCTCCTATTGGTTCTGTTTCTTTGGTGAACTCTGCCCAATGAGGGCCTTCAAGGCCAATGTCATGGGTAGAATCTTGACGACACATACTGGGCCATTATAGGTACTGGGGCAAGGCTGTCCTGCCTGAGGGTGACAGGCTGTGTGTGTGTGCACGCGCGCGTGTGTGTATAGTGTGTACAGCTCTGAAACGATTGAGATCAAGTAATGTCCTCTATTTTTATTTCATGTTCACCAAATCACCTTTTCTTTTTTTGAGGAAAAGGACAGTGGTTGAATTGGTTGACAAATGAGGAGGACCAGATAACCTTTTCTTAATTGAATTTCCCCAAGTAACCAACATAAAAATGTACATAATCTATAAGGCTGAGGACCGGACTCTCAGCAATAGTGAAATCATTATGGTAAATGCCAAATTCAGGGTTCTGTCAGGATGCCACCTTGACTGTCGAAAGTAGTTTTCCTTTGCATTGCTTCGATGAACATACTTTAGCATCTGAAAACAGCAAAACCCTAAAATGTCTTTGCAATATTTATTTTTCTCAGATGTGTTAACAAGATCTATGAACCACCATGATAGCTGGTTTTTAATTACTTGAACTGAAGAATGATTATAAAAGCGGCAGGGAAAGATACGTATATTTATACACATAATTTCCAGACATGTAAACCTTTAGGGCCATTGGAGGAAGCTATAGAGCTGAGGCACAAAATAATCCTTGTAATGTCCATCGATGAAACCTTTTCCACTATTGTGCACAAACCAACAGGGGACATCTGTTCCAAACACAATGTCCGTTCGGTAGTCTTTCTGTAAGCCTCTGCAGAGAAAACGGGGTGCATGGTTACCGCAAAGACCAGGGCAGGGCACATCTAGAATGGAGATTCAGTCTCCCCTGCAGGACTTTGTGCCTCTTCTCATACTGCATCTGTCCACTTCTACCACCCCACCCCCCAAGTTGTAGGGAACATCAGAGGATAGAATATAAACAGTGTGTCTTTAGATAATTCAAATTGACCCCATAGCGGACTTTTCTAGCAAAGAAAGTTCTAGCAAATGAACTTTCAAATAGAAACAAGATGGGTACAAAAGTACAAGGTGCCATGGGCTCACTTCATATGTTACTGGAAGAATGAACCTGAAATGCTTCTCACCTTCACTTCAGGGGTATTTTTTTTTTAAATAATAGTTTATTTTTACATCATTTTGTGCATTTTTCCATCTCAGTTGTAATCCTCTTGGGCTTCCCATCACTAAATTACCCATGTGCCAGGGTGAGTATTTTTATTTAAAGGTGATGTTACCTGCTTTTGAGAAATTTATATCTTTCTTGAAAAGTTATATGTCATAGTGCCATTAATGAGCCTTAAATATACGTGTATATTATATTAATTTTAAATATGTGTGTGCATATAATCACATATAAGTGCCAGTTTTATGAACCATATGTATAAATATATATAATTTTATATATCAGATATCTAGTTATATATCTACTGCTGTGTGTATATATACATGTACACACATACACATGAATAAAATTGGGCAAGTCCCATAGTCAGTTTTAGTTATGCATCATGGGATGCTTGTGGTAGACGAAAATAAGACCGAGAGGTACCTTTTATTATTAGAGTATGGTAGGTGCACTTTTACTAACCTCACCATAGTATTTTCACCATTATTAACCGGTATTCACCATTTCTTCTACAAATCATGTTTACTGATGCATATTGGCAGTTCAGGTATCTTTAGTAGCCCTATTATTAGTCAAACGGCTAGGAATCTATTATTTTAGCTCACAAACCTATTTTGGGGATGGTAGCTATTACTATAATTTTAAGGCCTAGTGATTATTATAATTTATGACTTAAGTGTGTGAAAGTCAGTGACATTATGTGCAAATGGAGTTATTTCAAATAAAATTTTCTGCTTTGTGAAAACTTTCATGTGATACCAACTTAAGCACAGGTAAGACATTTGTAAAAGACAGGGAAAACAACTCCAGAATTTTAAGATTTTATACTCAGAATTCTTTACAAATGTCTAAGTTCTCACTTCAAAATAAAGCTCATGGATGTCTTGTATAAGAAAAGCTACAGAAAAATACATTCAGTAGATTCATAGACCAAAGTGTACTCTGTAGATTCAGATTCAGAAAGAAGGCTCCAACCTCATGCACAAAAATACACTCATTCTCTAGTTCTGTGGCCCAAAGTATTATTGATTTCCTTTTTCAGTCAGCTTTCCAATACCCAACATGGGAACCATAGGGCTTGTAAGGTGTGAAGGTGAGGACAAGGGGTTAATGAGTGAGCATTTTATGTATGTATCTTCTAATAATTACTTGGATTTAAGGTGGTTTCTCTGTGGTGTCCCTATGCAAATGTCACAAGTGTGTCTATCCCTGATGTCATTTGACATAGGTAATGTTAAAATAGCTTGTCTTACTCTTGTAGCTTTTGCAGCTATGTGAGTCCACGCTAACCAGAGTCTTGTCTTGACTTACTCATCTGAGCCTTACCTGGTGACGATCACCTTGTGTCCTTTCACCTCCATGCTCGCCTCTGGCTTTGCAGGGTCCTTTCCAGGTCGCTCATTAAAGATACGTATCTTTGGTTCATGCATAAACTGGCCTAGTGAAACAAGGTAGATATTTATTTACATGAAACCTAATGGCTAATAACAAGACAGTGGTAATTTGATCCTAGCTACAGTTGAGCTTTCCCTCCAGAATTCAAAAGTAGAGTGATGTATTGAGAGGGAAAAGGACACAGTATGGGCTCTTGCTAAGAGCTAATCTGTCTGCTTATCCCTGGTCAGTTACACATAAGGCTGACTTAGTGGGCCAGAAGTAAAATCGAACACCCTGATGGCAAAATCATAGAGATAAACCTTAAACAAGGCATATGATGTCATGCTTACATTGAAACCATTCTTTCTCTTTTTAAACTGTTTATTGAGGTAACATTGGTTTATAGCACTGTTTTATGTTTTCAGGGTTTAGGTTTGCACTTCTACAAATGTACATTATCCATCATGTCCACCCCTAAGGCACCAATAATCCGGAACCATTCTTTATATACTAGCGAAAGATAGCCTAGATACTCTGCTTTCACAGATTCCCTAAGCCAGTTCTGAGTTAGGAAAAAAACCAGTTTTTTCTGAGAGGAAAAAATCTCCAACATAAGATGTATCTGTATTCTCTCTTAACTTGCCTAGTTCGTGTTGATGAAATGTAGGTTCTGGGAAAACTCATCTGCAACAGCAAATGGTCCCAGCTGGAGCATAATGGGTGGTATTAATCATGTTTTTTATTTCAGTATGACATACTGTTCCAGGATCTTAAAAAGCCTTTCTGGCTAGGGAGAAACTGGCCCCCCAGAACTACCCAAAAACAGCACAGGACTCGGCCTGGAGCCTTTGGCCTACTAACCAGCCAACCAGAGCCAGGATCCCTCTATCTGCTGTCAAACCTACAAAAATCATTCCAGAACCAGCTCCCTAGCAACTAGAGGGCAGCCCGTAGCCCACAAAAATGACTGAGGCCAGTCAACTCTCTTCTGACCTAACATGGGCCCCCCTGGCATATCATTCCTGGTGGTTCAAGCCCTGGAATGATTTCACACATGCTGGACAGCCAACTTTTACCTATGAGTCCATGTGCATTAGGTGAAAACTTATTTGTGGGAGGAATGTAGATCCCCAGAAAGTCTACATTGATTGGATGCTTCTTCCAAACACGATGAAGTAAAATGGAGAAGGACATTTCTTTAGCCAGGGTGATAGTCACACTTTTCTCCTTCTTCACTGAAACAAGCACCCTAGTGAGAGAGTCAAAATGCAATGAAGGATTCCAGAACACACACCATTTAGAAAGTCATTCCTGCCACTGCTATTTTGGGCTCTCTCTTCCTTTGATATAATCCCACTGTCAGCTAAGACCTTTATAATGTTCTTGTTACAAAATGGGTTTCACTGCCTAGCTCTAAAATACTGACAATTTCACGGCTTGTATATAAATAATGGAAGATATGGACAGGAAAGTATTCCATGGAAGACAAAATGATGGTGTTGCTGAGCACAGTGATAGCTGGCTGTGGGTTTCAGTTGCTATGTTCACGCCAATTCCCATGCTTGTTGAGGTCTTCCTATCTGCAGCTCCTGGCCCACATGTTCTGTGGCCAGGGTAAGGGATGTAGGAGCCCAAAACATTTCTGAACCTCAACTTCTTCAACATTTAAAATGGTGATTTTTAAGGTCTATGTGTAGTCACTGAGACCTGGATTTATCACATGTATCAGAGGCAGACTTGAATTCAGGTGTGAAAATACTTGCCTCTGAAAAAGGACACGAGCAGTGTCAGCCCAAGACAGTATGGACACTCGAGGGCCATGGCTCAGGGTGATGGTCTTGGTGCTGATTTCTATTTTCATGTCTTCGCTTCGGAAATAAAATCCCAGTTTTCCAAAATAGGTTCTTAGTTTTTCATTCTCAGGTTTCTTGGCACCAACGAGCTGACCATTGATCAAAATCCCTACAGGGAAAAAGAGGTTTTTTGCTCATGTGAACCTTTGTTTTTTTCATGGGTGGGCATCATAATTTAAAGTTATAAAACCTGATAATAGGAGAAAATTGTTCAATATTTTGCATTAGGACTTGCATAAAATTTTTTCCTTTGTAGCTTTTTCTTACTTTAAAACCTAATAAATATGCTTTATTATAGTTTAAATTAATCATATCACAATGATCTACTAGTTCATACTCAGAAAATATTTTATCTGGAATGGTCACTTAGGAATAAGTGATTCATTTCCCACTAATTATCAGAGCTTGACAAATATAAGGCCTCTATTAATATTAACACTGACTTTGGTCAAGATGAGAAACAAATGCCAGGCAGTGACATGAAGCATAACAGAGATTTCATTGTCTAGTTCATACGTATTTTTTTGTTTTACCTGATTCTGGATCAGAAACAAGGTTGAGGATTTTTCCAGGTTCTGAATCAATATTGAAACAAATATTTTTTTGACTTTTTGGTAGGAAAATGATGAAGTGTGGATCATTTTCAACTGGAAAATATACAAAGGAGTTTTAAAAAATCATAAAAGGAAGATGGTTTAAACAGTACATTTAATTTGTTGGGCTTGTGCTGCATGCTAGGTCCTGTTTCTAGGCACAGGAGCCCAGTGGCCCACACCCTTTGTCTCTCCTCATAGAACTTCCATCAGAGCTTTGCATTATTTTACAAATACAGTGGCTACTTCTTCTGGAGCTACTACATCTGTTAATAGGCTCTAGAAAAAATAAGAATGACAAGAGGAATAAGAGCCATTTGCTATATATATGCATATATGTACTATGTATGTAGACATATACAGTGAATGTATGAATGTATAGCTTAAAAGAGGTATCACAAGTAAGTAAGCAGATGAGCAAACAATCTCACAAAAATAACACATAGTTATACAGGAAATAATATCAAAGTGTTTTTGATTGTGATAGCTCTGCAATAGAGCAAACCAGCAGGGTGAGAGTGAGAGTGAAACTGGGATGACCTGATTGGTAGGTACTCACCGACACTTCAAAATGCAGGACACAACCCCAAAACAGACATCCAGTGAGAAACAATAATTACAGGATTTATTTACATAGGGAACGAGAAAAGAGAGAGCGAGCGAGAGAGAGAATTTACAGGCTAGCCATGTGACCAGGTGCCACCTGTCCATCCCCAGACAGCTTCTGCTGATGGCTTCTCTACAGACCCTTTCTCCACAGCCATTTAAACTTCCCAAAGCCCCAGCTCCACACCTATTTCCCACCAGCCTCTTTCCTTCAGAGGGTAGAATCTGGAAAGCCTCACCTTTTATCAGGTTGACTACAAGAACCACCCACTGGCTCAGTGGTTGCTCCACACTGTTTCTCTTACAGATCCTAATCTTTAATAATAGCTGCTTATTGAGACAACTCTGTCACTCAATAAGACCACTTGCGCCTCCCTGGTGGCCCATGCACATCACTATCAAGCTTATCCTCAGCCACTGTAGCACAAGTTCCATCCCCAGCCAGGGAGCTGACCCACATGGTACAGCAGACCTCTGTCACCTGGTGCTCCCCTCAGCAGTGTATTTCAGTCAAGCTGCCTGTTCTCCCCACTCTGTTTCTAATGAGCCCTCTCACCCCCCACACCTTTGGCCTATACCCCAGTTATTGAATGCATAAATAAATCTTTTTTTTTTTAAAAAAGATAGTTTTACAACCTTGCTATCTAATCAACAAACTGGCTATGTAAGAGTCATGATCCTATTTCCAATGCAGAAGAAATGAAGTGCAGAAAAAGTCAGTAATCTTCTTCAGTCCACATAAGTGCTATGGGCAGTCTCCAAAAAGAATGCTCTTCCCACTGGCCCACTCTATTCAAAAGTGGCAACTCTTGCATTTCAGAGGGCTCATCTCACACCACTGGAAACAGCACTATGGAATGAACTGCTGGTTCTATTCCATCCACACGTTGAGGTTCCAAATACCTAAATGATGGAATTTGAAGATGGGCCATTTAGGAGGTAAACAGGGCTGAACAAGGTCATGAGGGGCAGACCTCCAGCTGGGATTGTGTTCTTATAAGAAGAGACCAGATACCATCACTCTCTCCCTGCATTTACAAAGAGATCATATGAAATCACAGGAAGATGGAAGTAGCCAACAAACCAAGAATATAAAGTATACTTTGACAGCATCTTGATCTTCTAGCTCCCAGAACAATGAGAAAGAAATGCCTGTTGTTTAAGCCATTCAGTTTATGGTATTTTGTTTCAGTAGTCTGGACTTACTTTCTTTCAATGGAAGTCAAAGATGCCTAGATGCATTGATTCACTAACTTGTACAAATGCTCCACAAGAGTGTGAGCCGATGGAGACCTGGGGTGTGAAGGCAGTGTCAAAGGTCTTTTACCTCTCATCACATGTGGAGGAGTCATCTCAAGCACAGGAGCGCTTTGTGCAGGCATTGGGGCCATTGGCATTGGTGAAGGGTTGACCCAAGATGGGACTGAACTTGGAGCAACTTTGCTGCCATAATATAGGGCACCTGTGTGGGCAAATCAGTATCTATTAGTTTCCAGGTTTACTTTTCTGTGGAAGTTGTTTACAAGTTCAAGAATCTGTTCTATGCTTAACCCACAAAGGTTCTTTACTAAGATTTTCTCCTCTTTTTATTGCAGAGTTTTCTCTCTTCTGCTTTCCTCTGTCATTCTGCTATGTGGGCCTGCGGTAGGCCTCTGCAGACTCTGAACCCTGCATGAAGGTCTCAAGTAGCAGAGAACACCTCACAGAGGTTGGGGGAAGTCCCTATAGAGGCCAGGATGCTGTGTCCTATCTATATACTCTGGGAAAGTCCTGGATTACAGTCCAACATCTTCCTGTATCTAATCCTAGTTACTCACCAAACTCTGCAATGTTATTTCTCAATGAGGTTCACCCATTAATTACAAAAAGTTCACTTTGTTTTCTGATATCCAGTTGTGTCTTTGAGAAACTCATGCTGATAGCCCAGAGAGAGTTTCTCCCTGGAAAATTTAGCTGTGAGGTTATTGTAACTGGGATGTCAGAAATCAGAGTTCTTTGAACCCAGGAACACTGTGGTAAACTTCTCAGTGAACAAATTTTAAAATGCATGAAATGATCCCTTCAATGTTTGTGGGTTATGGTCAAGATTACATTTCAACAGGACACATCACAAAGAAAGAGACGAATAAACTAGAGGCACCCTTGGACTTTCTCAGGACATGGAAAGCATGGATAATTTTTAAGGTAATATCTATTTTTTTTTCTTAAAGATGTATTTATTTATGCATACAGAAATGAGGTACAAGGCAGAGGTGCAGTGCAGGGGCAGTGAGAAGATTACCAGAGACAGAGTGGGGAGCAGAACAGACAGATTGCAAAACTACACTGCTAAGGGGAGCAGCAGGCAAGACAGGAGAGGTCTGCTGGGCCATGTGGGTCACCTCTGGGGCCTGGGATTGAACTCGCACTGAAGTGGCTGCAGCTAGCTTGCAGTGCTGCGTCCTTATTCATTGTGCCACCAGGGTGAGCCCAGTAATTTCTATTTTTAAGGCAATTTCTAAATACACTTTTCCTAAAGAGTCCTCTTTGTCCTAGCTTACAAGTGGCAGGCATGCTTGTGCTAGCCCTGCCTGTCCTTACCTAAAACCTCCTAGAGCCAAAGTATCCATTTTAAATTGTGGTGAAGCCAGAAAACAGAATGGCTCCAAGGCTTTGTCATTGTTCTCAACATATTTAAAGTAGGACCTGAATTGTTACCAAATAGATCCTTAAAAACAATTTTTGAACTCTAAATCTGTACTTGAGTTGTATGCTAACAAGGTTTTTCAGATCTAATGCCAATAACTTTTTTAAAAAGAAAATTGATGCTGAGTTTTTCTGTTTCAATTTATTAATAAATGACATTTATCCATACATACATACATGAAAAACCACTCAGTTTTCTCATTAAGAGATGAGTTTTAATAAAAGTTTGCTTCTTGTACATTCTACTTCTTATTTTTATCAATTATCTACTCATAGTAATTGTAATCAAACCCAATCCAAAAGAAACTTTGAACACTTAGAAATTTATAGTCATAGGCCCTCCCTGGTGGCGCAACAAGTTAGGACATAGACTGCAAGCTAGCCACAGCTGCTTCAGTGCGAGTTCAATCCCCAGACCCGGAGGTGACCCACATGGTGCAGCAGACCTCTCCTGACCCGCCCACTGCTCCCCTCAGCAGTGTACTTCGTCGATCTGCCTTTTCTGCTCCCCACTCTATCTCTGGTGAGGCCTTTCACCGCCCCTACACCTCTGGCTTGTCCCCCAGTTCTGTATGAATAAATAAATAAATCTTAAAAAAAAAAAAAAGAAATGTATAGACAATTTTCTTGCAAAGGAATAAGATAATGAATAAAAGATTCTCGAGCATAGAAGTACTTTCCACTAGAACATAATTCTGCCAGGAAAATGGGATGGAAATAAAAGTTCAACTAGAACAATGTAAAATTTCTAATAATTAGAATAGAATTTGCACATGTATTTTTAATGGATGATAGTGAGCATCCAGTTTAATACTGATAAAAAGCAGTAGTATAGCAGTTTTGCTTTAAAACGTTCCAGAATTTAATTTTGTGATAATGACTTATAGAAGATGAAAAAATTTTTAATATTGATTTTTAAAATGTGTGAGTGATGATGTAGGTATCAAAATTCATAGGAACAGAAATCATTGGAAAACTTCAGCATTTAACTCTTCCCACAGTAAATGAACAGGAGGTGGGGACATAAAAACCAGATGTGGACTAGGGGAGGGAGAGAAACAGAGATTCCAGGACCACCAAGCAGGGTGAGAGAAGGCTCAAATACTTTTCCAGCAGGTGGAAACTTACCTGAGCAGCACGAGTGGTCTTGTGGTGGGGAGTCAGCCAACATGCGCTCATCCCCAGCATCATTCTCAATCACCATCGCTGTGAGCGGGGTTACTATGTGATGTTCCAGAGACATTTGCAAGATTGTTCTTGTAATTTTCCTTTTGTCAGCAGCGGTAGGAGCCAGGCTTCTGTGTTCAGGAAATAAAGACTGAGAACATGGCTTGTGTTCAAGGCTGAGGAAAGGCCCATGGCCTAGTACTTCTGGTGTCCAACTGTGACTCAGGGGGTCACAAGGTAAACTTAAATCACCTGGCTTTGTGAAGCTTAGTATTTTATCTAGCCTTGTAGTCCTAAGGAGTTTTTTAGAAGAGCAGTTTCACTGCAAAATTGAGCAGAAAGTAGAGATTTCTTATAGAGCTACTTCCCCCCTCAACACACACACTCTGTTACCCCCGTATCAACACCTTCCCTTGCCACCCATCAGAGTAGTAGGTTTGCTATAAAGGATGAACCTACATTGCCACTTTGTCATCACACAGATTCCATTAGGGTTCACTTTTGGTATGGTTACATCCATGGATTTGGACAAATGTAATCACATGTATTCACTATTACAGTAGCATACAAATAGTCTCACTGCCCTAAATATCTCCTGTGGAATTGAAATAGGAGGGATCAGTAGATCCCTGGTAACCACTGATCTGTGTTACAGAGACTTTTTTAAAACATATTAATAGTGTATTCTTACATCATTTTGTACATTTTTTTTTTTCATCTCAATTGTAATCCCCGTTGGTTTTCCATCACCGAGTCACCCATGTGCCATCACCATAGTCCTGTGCACTTCCACCCCCCACCCATTTGATCCCATTCTCCATACAGAGACTTATTTTTTAAGTTTGTATTTTACTTCTACAGCACCTTGTTTATTTAATTGCACTCAGTGGGCTTCTGTAAAGGGATGAGGTTATTTCTGATTTACTTCAAAGTCATAACATATAGCCAGCATCTGTTTTATAATTTCACAGGCATCACAGATTTTCTCTGTGTGTGCTATACAACCGTATTTCATTTTTTCCCAATCTAGTTTAGATGATCCGTCTTCCAAAAAATCTGACTAATAGGTAGAGTGGAACTCTAGGATAGTAGTTTTCTTATCAAACACCCTCATGTAATTCTAATGCAAGTAGTTGGAAGAATTGTATGTTAGTCTAGAAATACATCTTTTATAATGGAGAGTTTAAGTGCAAGTCAGCTGAGAAGTTAGAGATAAAATCGATAACTATTAGGAAGTCCTTCCTTAGGTGATATAATAATTGCATACTCATAAATTTCTCTTGGAACAACAACCTCTTCAAAAGTAAATGCAAATGAACTTTCTGTATGCACAGCAACATCAAGATATAGTGGATGAAAAACAATTGTATCATTATGTGAAATTTAGTCAAGATAAAATTGATAAAATTGGTAGATGAAGACAAGTGTTGGAATAGTAACTTCTAATGGAGGTAAGTGTTGAATGAGAAAGAGTAAAAAGCAAGGATTCCCTTTAGACATGACAGAAGTGGTCAAAATCTAGATCTGGGTGGTGGGTATAAGAGTGATAAACAGAAAAACTCATAAGACTAGCCAGTTAAAATTAATGCATTTCACATACTTTACAGTTTGAATGTTATACCTCAATAAAAAAGAAAAAAGAGTACATTGAGTTTTAGTTAATGTGCCTGGAACTGTTGGAAATTAATAATCCAAATCCTGTATTACTTTTCTGCCTTTCTGGGTTCCAAACTCTGTCAGTGTATAACTTCAAATATTCAATGTAAATCCTTCACTTTTGCAAATCCCTGTAGTATCTACTCTTACCGCTCAGCTAGAAGTTGGTTGATTGTCAGATAAGCCCACAGTTTCTTGGTAAAATCAGGATCTGCATGCTTTTCTTTTGATAAGAAATCCTCCAAGTCATCCATTTGGCCCAGAGTTTCTAAGACTAACTCCGTATTAGCCTAGATGAAAGAAAAGTCAGTTGAAAGACACCAGGACAACAGAATTACAATCAAGTCAACTATTTCTTACCCACAGTGAGTGAATCAGGCTAGTATGCAACTGTAAAGGGAATGCAGAAGTGCTTATCTCTAGAGGAAGATGTCTTCCTCTTAACTTATTGCTTCTATTCTATGCAAATGGTTCTTGGAATGTAGAGTGTTAACCTGTTAATACACAGCATGGATGGTATCCAGGGAACCAAATAGTATTTTTAGGATAAGCAGCAGATAAGCAGAAGTACCGAAGTGGCTGTGATAATGCTCTGTATTTGTTCCAATTTTTCAGGGTCAAATTTTCCTGCTACCACGATCTCTGAACCTTTAAAGTAGTTGTGGAAGCTGTTTTGTGTGACATCCGTTACTGATGTATGGGGGTAGTTGAACTGAACATTCCGGAGCAATGGAGTAGAGACCTGGTTGTAGAATTTCTGCAATAATAATAAAAAAGAAGTGGAGTAATTATTTTCAAGCCACTTTATAGGTGTAAAGCATTTTTCTCTGAGATTCCCTGAATGCTTAGCAGATTTAGCTCTTAATTTATTCTCACAGGATCTCTAGAAATCTTAGGACAGGGAAGAGTTCCAATAATTATCAGATGAACTGAGACATAAACAAGATAAAGATTTGTTAAAAACATTACCTCTGATATAAGAGCTCACCATTTCATTGTCACTGTGATCAGCATGAAGAGCTCACAAACATGCATAGTAAGAAAAGTCAGCTAGGTTGATCTTCCCAACTCTGAACCTCACCCCTGCCTGGCTCCCAAGTTTAAATAATGGTGTCCACCATTGACACAGAATGGTAGGGACCGAGGGTGGAATAAAGATGCTCTTCTAGGGCCCTCCTTGGTGGTGCAGTGGGTTAAAGCACAGCACTAAGAAGCTAAAGCCACTTCCACCTGCCCCGGAGGTGACCACATGGCGCGGCAGATCTCTCCTGACCCTCCCACTGGTCCTCTCAGCAGTGTACTTCGTCAATCTGCCTGTTCTGCTCCCAGTTCTATCTCTGGTGAATCCTCTCACCCTCCGTATCTCTGGCCTGTACCCCAGTTCTGTATGAATACATAAATAAATCTTAAAAAAAAATAAAGGAAAACAGAGGTCATGATGCTAAAAGAGGACCAGCTGCTTATCTGCACGAGAAACCTTGGCACTGCCAAGGGTCTGGGCACTAAACCTTGTCTAGGGAATAGGGGGTCTTTCAGCCACCACCTTACTGCCTCTCCTCTCACGTGAATGCAGAACTACAAGTGCAGAAGGACGTATGAAAAGACACTGACTGATTTTTATTCCCCAATATACCAAAATAATGACAATTTTGCCTTTAATATAGCCATCTTCCTTTAGGATTCAGATATTGCTCTTTGATAAATTTCTACCGAAGGAAAAAAAAAAGAGATAAAAGTGTTAACCTTGAGCTGGGAAGAAGTCTCCTGATTTCCATAAATCCTTTGAGCAATTCCACGGTTATCATTGGACAGTCTCTTCAAAAAATCATAATCAACATCAAACCCTATCCCCAAACTGAACAAGGAGATATTGTCACGTATATTTTGCTTCACATTTTTCTGTATTTTTGATAATTTTAGTTCACCTAAAATTGATGAAGACAGGAAGAGAAGGAATGATAAGGCACTACCATAAAGTTTTAGGAAAATCCATGGAGAACATTTTAGCAAACGTTTTGGAAATTAAAAATTAACTTATCCTTCGACCCAGTAGCCCAAAGTATATGGATTTTTCTTATACATGCACTCATACACATTGAAATGAATTATGGGCAATAGTACACAGCAACATCATCGTGGGAAAGCAACATATTCCCGATTTAAATGTAGATCTACAACTTCAAAGTAGATCAATAAGGGAAAGTGGCTCAATTATAGCCCATTCAAGTGATAAAATTAGAAGGAACAGGCAATTTTCTTGAATTGATATTAATAATCTCAAAGACATTTTAAAGGAGAAATAAGGTATGTAAGGTGCACTTTTATGCATATGCATATATATGAGGCATATATATGTATTCATACATATGTGTGCATATATGTCTATGGAGTAGGACCTCTCTGGAGAGGTACACAAGAAATTGATAACCAAACACTGCCTCCAAGGACAGGCACTGAATGGCTGAAGAAAACAAGGTGAGACACAGACTTAATTTCTTACTATGTTTTTTTCTCTTCCTTAAGATTTTATTCCAAAGTTAAATTTTAGAAGCAATTGGTTTCTAGGGACAAAAAAACAAAAACAAAAGCCCCCAAACAGTGAATTTTCAGCAAAGCTTAACAACTGCTACTCTGGTCTCACTTAGATGTTTGCTCGACTGGTTGCCACTCCCACTGACTGTCACATGTAGGGTAAACACACCCTGTCCCTTAGCAGACTGTAATAGAACCTAGTGTTCACTCTTCCTTCATAAAGAAGCAAATAAAATGAATTAAAATATCAGTACATAGTAGAGGCAGGAAGGTGCCGAAGTCTTTTATGGATAAGAAAATTGTTCTGCCTAAAGGGTATATCCGAGAGAAGGGTTTCTCCAGTGTCAGTGAGTCAGCAGGGCAAATGTGGAGCATGGTGAATCTGGCCTCTGGATAGCCACTGCAGACCTGGCACAAGCAGTCATCATACTTTCTGCCACTCACTATCTCATGTCCTTAAGTTGAGGACATAAGTTTAAGTCATTATGCTGTTATCAGCAAACCCGCAAAGCAGACTATGAAATTAAAATTGAAGTTTCCCATATCATAGGGGTGAAACTGAGGTATTTGGAGCCTTGCTGAAAAGGTATCTGGGGGCCAGTTTAAGCAGAGAGAGGACTTCAGAGTCAAAGGAAGCCTTCTCTAGGAAACATAAGTTTAAAATCATTTAGAAACTCAAGGCAAATGCTATTGGTCACTCTTGGAAAGCAAATCACACTCCCAGTAGCAAAAGTAAAAATATTTGTCACTAGAATATTGAATGATACTTGCCTACTGTGGGGTCACCATCAGAAACCAAAATGATCAGAGAGACTGAGTTGGGATCCAGTAATCCCAAGTTACTGGCTTCGTTCAAAATAAAGATGGCCCGCAGAAGTGCTTCATTGATATTTGTGCCTGTTAAAGTAATATGATATTTGGTTCTGTTATATACTTTCTTGGCATAGAGACAGTCACATCTTGGCTTGAGGTTCGTCTGCCCGGTGATCACTCTTACACTATTTATTCAGTACCCAAGTCATTTGCTTCCCAAATGACACAAATTTTGCCCATGCTGATCAACATGCCACAGTGAGTAAAATATTCATTCTTTGGTAAACTGTTCTCTTAGAGATGAACAGACCTTTTCAAAGCTCCAGTTTGTTATTATGTTAAACGTCAGATTTAAGGCACCTAAATCACCTTGCTGACAACCTTGATACTAGCCATACTTATAGATAGTTACATTTTCTCCTTTGTGAGTAGTAAGAAGCTAATACCATTATATCCCTTTGGAAGATTAAAAAAAATTGAAATTTTCTTTAAAAAAATTATTATTTTAAAATTTTAATTAATTAATTATGTTTTGTATACAATGTTTCTTTTCTCAGGTTTAGTCCCTATAGGATTTCTACCACCATAGAATTTCTGTGCACCATCACCATAATCCCTTTTGTTCTTCCCTCCCTTGAAAAAACTTACTAGTTTTTGAATTAAATTTTATGGAATGGCACACAAGTGAGTTGCTGATGGGACATCCATGGGGATTACAAATGAGATGGAAAAAGGCATAAAATGGCGTAAAAAAAAAACTAGTCTCTACCCAAAAGACACAAAAATAGTGATTGAAAAAGATACTTGTACCCCCATGTTTATTGCTGCTTTATTTACAATTGGAAAAACATGGAAGCAGCCCAAATGCCCAAAAGTAGATGACTGGATAAAAAAGATGTGGTACATATATACAATGGAACATTACTCAGCAACCAAAAAAGGGAAACACATGTCTTTTGCAGCAACTTGGATGGAGCTGGAAAAGATCATGCTTAGTGAGATAGCCAGAAAGAGAAAGAAAAATACCGGATGGTTTCACTCATAGCAGGAGTATAATGGACCAGGTGGAAAATAACAAAAATAATGAACAACCATATACCAGAGACATTTTGTGGGGGTGGAGTGGGGAATGGGATCAAAAACGGGGTGGGGGGAGGGAACTGCACGGGATTATGGTGATGGCACATGGGTGACTTGGTGATGGGAAACCCGCGGGGATTACAATTGAGATGGGAAAAAAATGTACAAAATGATGTAAAAATAAACTTTTGTAATAAAATAAAACTAGTCTATTAAATTTTTTTTTATGGAAGTACCAGTCTTACAGCGTTGATGGCATTTGTCAGCAAAGCATCTTCTCTCTCCCCTCCCCCAAGCAGGCATCACCGTAACACACCTACCATTGCTTTGGAAGATTGGAATGGTTAAAAACTTGTGTGGGACAGACAATCTGTTAATCTTCTACCACAAATTTGGTATTTATCATTAAACATGAAATGTATAATTAAGTCAGATCACTGCAGACTGGGCAAAGAACCCTGTGTAGAGAACATTGCTTCTTGAGTAAATCAAAATTTGAACCCTACAGAAATCTCTCTCGAGGTTTTAGACTAAATTCTCTCACCTCCACTGGGCTGGATTTTCTCAATATACTTCTTGGCATCTGCAATTTGTGCTTTAGTAGCTGAGACTAAATCATTTCTCCAGGTTCGAACATTGTGGTTAAAATCAACCACGGAGAATTGATCATCAGGTCTTAGATCATCCAAGATGGTCTTCATGGCTTCCACTGTCTATTTTGAAAAAGAATGGAGAAAGGTCTCATTACACAAGTCTAACCCTAAGAAAAAAATGAGGACGATAAATAGTTCATCCAAATCATCTTTCAAGTACTGACTCTAACTATAATGCTTCCAGAAAATCTTTTGAATCCACCTAAGTGGAAAGATCTATCTCTCACTTATTCTGAATATATAATGTCTGCATTTCAACTTCAACTTCTACTTTCTTGTTATGAAAGCCACTTTGACATGTCTTACTTTAAAGTAAGGATCACATCCTTCCAGTGCTCCCCTAATGGTGAATATAAGTCAGTTTAAGGGAACTAAGACCAGCCAGGGGGGCAGGTGCATTGCAGGGAGGGGATGTTGAAGGGAAGGGGCCCGAGACGCACCTCCCAAAAGGGGCTACTTACTTGTTTCATCTTTATTCCCCACATTGAGCCACTAACATCAATGACAAAGAGGATGTTTTTGGGAATTGGATCCATGTTTTCAGGAGCAAAAAAATGGACAAAATATCCATTAAATACCTGAAAAACAGAACATAATTTGTGAACCAAATCATTCCCAAGGGTTAGGATGTAAGAAGATGCAGGTTTGGGATAAAGACAGGAGTGGCAAGCCACAGTGAGCAGGAGGTAAAAAGAACAGAAACATCTGTGCCACCTGTCTGTCCCTTCCTCCCCCTCTGCTCCCTCATTCACTTCCTGGAAGGTCCAAGCCTTCTCAACAGCTTAACTTACCCTCTTCTCCATCTGACCTGCAGTGAGAGCCTCTGTTCCAGAAGCCCAGCAGCCAATGGTGAACCAGGCAGAGGCTCTGCCTCAGGGGTCTAGTGCAGCACAGAGTGTTAAGAGCCAAGATCAAGAAAATAAAGAACTCCGAGAGCCCAAACAGGAGAGACTTTCCCATAGAAATGGCACCTGTGCTGGATTTGAGCATGAGTTTGAAGTGAGGCTGCCCATGTGGGTGTCGGGTCAGGTTTAGCTGGTGAGTGAGGGCAGTGAGTGCTAGGGGTGGCAAGGAGAGTTTCAGCCAGTACAGCCCAGCCATTGAGAAAATGTGGCTCCCTTGGGGCTCTACAAGTGATTCAGGGAGATAGGGCCATGGAATTCTAGAATTCAAGAAATTAGGGTTCATTCAACAGGAAGATCATGTGTCTTCTGGGAATGTGGATAGCTCTTGAAGTCAGTGGAAGCCCACTCCAGCAGCCTCCTGATCCCCCTCTTCATCTTCCAGTAGGTTCTATGATTATCTCACCTCATCTTCTTTCCACTCTGTTTCTACCAGAATAAGCCAGTATTAACTATAAGAGGAACGGGCTGTGGACACTTCCCTACCTCCTTGGCCCTGTAGGGGAGCAGTCTTTTGGATACTCTCTGAAGGAAATACATACATCTAAGATATGATAAAGGGCAGAGAAAACTTGAAGATGATGAACATTGACAATGGAATTCACCAGCAGCCCACAGATATTTTGTTTTGTTCCATCCTATCAATCTGTAACCTCTGCTTTCTTGAATAGACAGATTACAAGGGGCCTTGAAGCATATCTATAATTCTCATTTTGTGATTTTTACTGTTCTTTATATAACTACCATTCTGGAAGAAAGCCTGGCACATAATGACCCTTCACTTAGTTTTCTTGACATAAAATGGCTCAAGAAACGTAGGGAGGCATTGCTTCTAATAGCCATTATGCTTGTCTTGGCAACTAGGAACTACCCAGAGAGGCCTGTGAGCCCAATAACTAAGAAACAGTTTTCAGCATGGCAGTTCTAGAGTGTTTTCACCCACCTCGAGCTCACCAGCTTTCTCTTCTCTGGCCACATCGTATACCACCACTAGCTCTCTGTCCACGGCTGTCTCAGAGCAGTTAGAGCATTTCCTTTGCTGTGCCACTGTGGGCTTGAAGGAGATGTGTGCCTGGAAAGAACAGTGAGGTCACCACCTACTCTGCCTCTCCCTCTCCAGGCAAAGGGTTTGGGGTTGGGCCTTTTCATGCCCAAGCAGCACCAGCATCCAACCGCTGATGGATGGGATATTGCCACAGTATGTGAGGGGGCCTTAGGGTGCTAGTGGTCACGTCTTTGTGAGAGCTAAAGAATTCCTTCCCCTTTTCCATGAAAGAAATAGCTAGAAAGAATTTGAGGAGTTTAACACTTCCATGGTTGGTTATTATTGGCTATTAAGGCAGAGAATTAAGTTGAATATCTCCTGCAGGGGTTAAGAACAATCCACCATAGATTAGATGACATGTTTGATGGAATCAATGACTTGGGGGCGATGAAGGTCCAAAGAGGACAGTCACTGGTCAAAAGGAAGGAAGGAGCTGGGAATTTTCTTTTGTCCTGCAGAAGACCACAGACTTTGCTGAGGGGTCACTGGTCCTTCATGTGACTCAATAGTTGAGCGCTTCCTATTCGGCTCAGTGCCTGGCTCCCCATGCACTCCCCAGAGCCCAGGGAGGGAACAGCTCCTGTGACTGGCAGCCCCTCAGACTTTCGCACCATGAGATGCTTTCAGTACCTTCTGCTTTCCTTTTGATATCACTGGAACCCCATCAAAATGGCCATCAAATGTGTCAGGGACATGAAGAAATTTTATTCCTTGAGGTTCAATAATCCACACATCAACCTAGAGAGGGTAGGGGAAGAAAAGTATTCTAATCATTCAAATATCTTTCTAGGTTTTTAGAGCAAGAAGTATAATCAATAAGTCCTCTGTGGTTTTTCTCATTTTCAAAATTTCCAAAGATGACCCAGCATGGTTCCATGTCACTTCAACTCCAGGGGATAGGATTCATCCCATCATGGTAAGTCACTCCCCCCGCCTCCCCATTGCTTCATACTCTGGGATTTACTATCTATTCTATTATGTCTTATCCGACCCTACCTGCCCTTCCCTACCCTACCCATACCCCCTATCTTATCCTGTCCTGTCCTATCCTACTCTGTTTTGTTTTGTCCTGTCCTTTTCTATTCTTTTTACTTATAAGAGCACTCAGATTAGGGGAAAAACAGAATGAAAGCCATTTTGAAAGATCCTGTATTGCTCTGTAGATCTAGAATAGAACTCTCCTTCATCCCCACCCTGGGCCATTTTATTCCTTATATGTCTTGCTGCTTTGAACAGAGTCAAGTAGGATGGAATTCCTTTTAGTCATCCTTGGCAAAGCCATGGTCAGAGACACCATTTCTCCCTCTATCTGTCTAAATGCTGTACTACGTACTTTACATGTATGAATTTACTTAATCCTCACGAATATAATTGCTATTTTTCTGTTACTGTTCTTATTTGTTATTTCTCATTTTACAGATGAAGAAACAGATTCAAACAACCTAGATAGTAGTGGCAAACCAGGCTTCAAATCCAGAACCCAAGCTCTTAGTACTTTAAACACTGCACACTGCCTCTAGACTTCCAACAGCCTCAGTACTCTTTTTTGTTGACACTAACATGCCATTCTTCTTGAAAATGGCATAATATTTTAATTTTACTTCGTTTTTTATTGAGGTAACATTGATTTATATTATTGTTAGTACTTTGGAAATACAGGGTTCCCTCCTTTCAGGTGTTGTCACCATAGTGTCTCCACCACAACCAAAGCACCCACAATTCACCAGCATAGTTCATTGTGCCCCTTCCCTTCTCTGCTCCTTCCCCCTTTTTCATCTCCCCATCTAGATGCCTGGAGTTAGTTTTCAGTTTGACTTTATCTTACTTTTTGCCTGGTTTCTCCATTTTCCACATATGGAGATATTTTTTTCCCCCACCATTCAATATTTATCATTAAAAAAAAAGCTTTATTTATCTATGCATACTGTACTACGGGCCAGAGATGCAGGGGCAGTGAGAGGATTTATCAGAGACAGAGTGGGGAGCAGAACAGGAAGGTTGATGAAGTACACTGCTGAGGGGATCAGCAGGTGGGTCAAGAGAGGTCTGTTGCACCATGTGGGTCACCTCCAGGGGCTGGGGATCGAACTCGCACTGAGGTGGCTGCAGCTAGCTTGCAGTTCTGCGTCCGTTATGCCACCAGGGAGGGCCCACTTTTGTTTTTTATTTTGTTTGTTTGTTTTTTAGAAATTTATTATTTATGCATACAGAACTGGGGTACAGGTCAGAGGTGCAGGGGCAGTGAGAGGATTCATCAGAGACAGAGTGAGGAGCAGAACAGGCCAAACAGAACTGACAAAGTGCACTGCTGAGGAGAGCAGCGGGCAGGTCAGAAGAGGTCTGCTGTGTCATGTGGGATCATCTCTGGGGTGGGGATTGAACTCATGCTGAGGTGGCTTTAGATTTTTTTTTTAAAAGATTTATTTATTTATTCATACAGAACTGGGGTACAAGCCAGAGATGTGGAGGGTGAGAGGATTCACCAGGGACAGAGTGGGGAGCAGAACAGGCAGATCGACGAAGTACACTGCTGAGGGGAGCAGCGGGCGGGTCAGGAGAGGTCTGCCGCGCCATGTGGTCACCTCCCGGGCAGGCGGGCATCGAACTCATGCGTAAGTGGCTTGAGCTTCTTAGTGCTGTGCTTTAACCCGCTGCACCACCAGGGAGGGCCCGGTGGCTTTAGATTTTTAATTCTGTGCTTTAACCTGCTGCACCACCAGGGAGGCCCCAATCTAATGATGTTTTAAGCTCCCTGGCTTGTAGTAATTAGTTACAGAATCCCCTGGAAGCTAACACAGGTAATAAGGAGGACAACTGATGTTAAAATCTGTAAGGAAGTAATCCAGTTGATTCCAAACCCATATCATATTGTCTTGCAGAGTTGAGTGGGATCAAAGAGCGCAAGAATAGAGATAACAGAGCTTAAACCAGGGGTGGGAGCCCTAGAGGACAGCCTCTGTGTACCCCCTGATCATCTGTGCTCACCTCCAAGTGCTTGGCCAGCCTTCCTGGCTGCAGATGAAGCCTGTGTTCATAGGATCCCAGCTTCCTCCACTTTACTTCCTGGTAATGAAGTTCAAATTGTACCTTTGCTCCAGGGAGGACATTTACTTCTGTTTTGAAGTTTTCCATGTCAAGAGCCCTGCTCCTAAAGATGTGAGCCCCCAAGGTAAGTTATCACATGCATGATCAAGCACAAGACCCAGAATCTAGGCAGAGGCATCTAGACTTTGCTGGGCAAACTTTTACACCTGTTAATAGTTCATGAACAGTAGGTACAAGAGAGAAAATTGCAATTTCCTCTCCAACGAGATATTTCTCTTCCCAAACTTCTCAGATTTGACTTGTCATTTGTAAAGAAATTCCAGTTACTGATTATGTTCCAGGGGCTTGATGCACATCACCTGTGACATACATAGCAGCTCTGTCAGATGGAGATTGTTACCCTCATTTCTTATCTGATACTCAATGAACCACTTAGAAGATAAGTAACCTGCGCAGGACCACACAGCTCATCAATTGGAGGACTGAAACTTGAATCCAAATTGAGATGATTTCAAACACTGCACACCTTTACTGCATTTGAGACTATTCTAAGGATTCTTTATATTGCTGAAAATTTCAGAAAGAAATCTATCGTTTCATCTGAATGCATAAGTCTTTCCACTGTAAAAACTTATTTAGTCCTGTATATCTCAAGTCCTATGTAACCTTTTGTCTTGGGGTTTGTATGGTTTAAAGGTGTCAACAGGAGGATTAACCAAATGGTGATGACTCAAACAGTACAAGAAATAATGAGTGATTTCAAAAAATTAAGTAACTGACAAAGCTAGGTGAGACTCTGCAGAGTCAGCGCACTTAGGATTGGGGAAATACTACAGGAAAAAAGTGTGGATTATGATGTAAAATATTGAAGCAAAAGATGAGCCTGATAGATGTGAAGCTTTGAACTAGATAGTAGTGGAATGAGGAATAAGTAAGTGGATAATGTGGATGAAGTGATTTATACAGATAGTGAAAGATACATCAGGATAATGGATTTACCAAAATCTGCTTAGTCTTTCTTCTGTTTTCTCCTGACCTGCCTGAATTATATGCTTTGGTTGGGCTAAATTCAAACATCAGGTCCTCTGTAATGATTTTCTAGATGCCCAGACAGAACTGTATGTACAGTTGGTACTTGGAACCCCTTAGGGTTTTCCATCCTTTCTTCATTAGTGCTGACCTCATCTTACACATTCTAGTCCCCAGTTCGCTGTCCATCACCCCATGGACCTGACAGTGTTTACTGGATATTGCTGCTGCCTCTGACAGAACTGGGTGCCCCCTGAGTTAACATTTTCTTTGAATGTAGTGAAAAGTGCTTCAACTAAAGGTAAGTTTGGGAACATAGAAGAGGAGGAGGAAATGAAAAAAATAATGAAGTCAGGATCTGGAAGAAGATTTATATGTAGTTTAAGGAGTGATCAGTTGAAATTCCGTTGAAGTAGCTTGTTTGAGAGGCTGCTTTTTAGCATTCCTCATGTCTTGTTGGAAAATATCAGGGCGGGGGGATTCAAAAGATTCTAAACTAGGTAAATTTTGGTGCAGGAAAAGGCTCTACCTCATAAAATAAATGAATTTGAGACCATTCTTCCACATTCATGGTAAGTTTTGTAATAGAATGACCAATGTTTCTGTAGCTCCTCTTTTAGAGGTCCTGCATAGGTCCAATGCACTCTTTTAGAAAACCAGTGCTTATTTTCAGAACATCCGTTTACACACAAGGCAAAGTATGTAAGATTAACCTACTGGAGATCACCAAGACCCATTCGTTGTAGTGAGGTCTTAGGGAAATAGTGGGCTGCTGGAAAAGTTATGATGCATTTTTGCTGGAAAAACAAAAAATATATCATGACTTTGACAACCCAGTTGAAACTCTGAGATTGAATTCTGCCACACAGCAAGCAGACTGTCTCTGTGGAGGCTGGTGGCCACTGAGGGAACGGGATTGAGCGGGGTCAGCAACAGTGGCCCTGCCCTTACCTCACCAACCCGGCTGTTTTGCCTTTTGCTCTGGCCTGTGAGTAGAGTACTCGTCCCACGGTTTTCTCCTTGATGGAACTGGAAAATGTCATGCCATCTACAGTCCTAGAAAATGACAGAAGGCCTCTGTTGGTCTGAACAGCAGTTTTAGCAAAGTAAACAACAAAGAACAACTCAACAGTGGTGATGGCTGAATAAGGACAATTATCATTTAGCTTCTGTAAGAAACAAGAGGGCCCTCCCTGGTGGTGCAATGGGTTAGGAAGCAGCACTGCAAGCTAGCCGCAGCTACTTCAGTGGGAGTTTGATCCCCGTCCCCGGAGGTGACCCACATGACACGGCAGATCTCTCCTGACCCGCCTGTACTCAGCAGTGTACCTTGTCGATCTGCCTGTTCTGCTCCCCACTCTCTCTCTTTGGTGAAGCCTCTCACCACTCCTGCACCTCTGGCTTTTACCCCAGTTCTGTATGAATAAATAAATAAATCTTAAAAAAAAAAAAAGAAAGAAACAAGAAGAAAGACATTTGCATATTTCACAGGTAGGACTCCCTTCCTCTGGTAGTGTGCCTGTAGAGGGATAAGGTGGGCTCCCATTCTAAAGGCCTTTCCAGCATTCTGTGCTTTGGATTAAGCCTGTTTTCCTCAGGTATATATTTTTAACTATATATATGCAGAGGAGAGGAGACTTATAAATCAAAGGTTGTCTAGCTTAGGTTTGGCTTAAAGGTCATTTTATGAGTTAAGGATCCAGCATAGCTTTGGGGTTAAGCTCTCACACAAGGGTGGAAAAGAATTAAGAAAGTGGAAGAAGCTGAATCCCTTTGTCAGGTTTATGCTTATCTCTACAACATCTCTACCAGGACCTCTGTCTTCTCACTGCATCTCCATCTCTACACATCTTACTTTCAGCTGGCTGTCTCCTCAGCATTACCAAGAAATGTTTTATCAGAACATTTGACTATGTAATTTTAAAGGTAAAATGGAACATATATCACGTAAATGGGCAGTATCTCTCATCAAGGAGGAATTTATACAGAAATGTGTAGAGAAGGCCCACCCTGGTGATGCAGTGGGTTAAATTGTAGCACTGTAAAGCTAGTTCGATCCCTGCCCAGGAGGTGACCCACATGGTGCGGCAGACCTCTCCTTTCTCACCCACTGCTCCCCTCAGCAGTGTACTTTGTTGATCTGCCTGTTCTGCTCCCTGTCCTGTACCTGGTGAATCCCCTCACCAGCCCTGCACCTCTGGCCTGTACCCCAGTTGTGTGTGCATAATAAATAAATCTTTTCTTTTAAAAGATTTAAGTATTTTTTAAAAAGATTTATTTTATTTATGCATACTGAACTGGGGTGCAGGCCAGAGATGCAGGGGTGGTGAGAGGATTGACCAGAGACAAAGTGGGGAACAGAACAGGTGGAATTCTGAAGTACACTGCTGACGGGAGCAGTGGGTGAGACAGGAGAGTTCTGCCACACCATGTGGATCACTTCCGGGGCAGGGATCGAACTCATGCTGAAGTGGCTTTAGCTTCTTAGTGCTGTGCACCACCAGAGAGGGCCCAAATCTTTTTTTTTTTTTTTTAAAGAAATATATAGAGAAGATTTTGGTTGTTCTGATGACAGAGAAGTGCTACTGGCGATATGTCAGGACACCAAAACTGTTAGCTATTCCAAAATGTGAGGGACAGTTCTACTGGACACCTTCTGTTCCAAATGCCAATGCCAGGCTTGCTGAGAAACAAGACAGAATTTGTCTCTTTACATGGGAGAAGTCAAGACTAAGAAGACAGTAACTTGTCAAAGATCATGCAGTTTGTCAGAGACCCAGTCAGAACTGGGCTTTATATGCGTAAGTCAACACTATTTCCATCAAATCACACTAAATTTCAAAGACCAAAGGGTCTTTAAGACCAAAGGAAATAATTTCTAATGGTAGAATATTTAGAACTTTGATAAAATAGCAGGAGAAATATTTTATCTAGATTTGGAGGTTTGTGCAAACCTTATTAAATTGTAGTGATGGAATCAGCTAACTTCTCTGGTCTTATAAATTCAGCTCTGAATAAAAAAAAGACCAAAATTCTGTCTTTCGTCACCTCAATTATTTTAAGGAATGAGGTAGAAAGGAAAGGAAAGGATAAAGGAAAATAGAAAAAGAGATGCCTAGATTAAGTTATGATTATGTGGTTTAAAAATGTATTAAAATCGCTTTGACATAAGTTTTTAGACATGGTATCATATAATATCACTAATAAAAGCTTTTCCTTCTACATGTGACTTTTAGAATAGGTTGAGTATAAGTATTCTATATAAATTTCTAAGTCAATTCAGAAGATATCAATTCAAAGTCACATGCTTTTTCTCCTCTGTTTTGTTTAGAAAATGTAGTTTTTGGAAGGCAAGATGTAAGATATTTGTACCCTATATTTTATTTACTCACAATCATTGATTACTTTGGCATATGAAAGATAGAAGCAGATAAAAAGTAACTCAACCCATTTTCTTAATAAAAATTAGCCATACTATATGCAGAGCATTGTGCTCTGCTTTGATCTAGATGATTCAAGGATATTGATCCAGCAATGCACATTTTAGTGATGGCCACCTTATGGTCAGGGGGAGAAATCATCAATCACTTGGAGTGATCTTGATAAACAAAGCAGCCAGGTAGGACAAGATAACTGGTCTTCCCTATTTGAAAGGTATTGAAGAGGTCTATGTTTTTTTTTTTAATGGAAATCTTTAAATATACCAAAAAATAGAGATGATAATATAAGATCCCCCCATGAAATTATCACTAAGCTGCACTATTGTCAATATTCAATGTCAATTCATCTACACCCCTCTCTCCACCTCAATTTACTTTAAAGCCAATCTCATATAGCATATGACTTCACCCTTGAATACTTCAGGATATATTTTGGAGAGGATTTTTAAAAAATTGTGTGTAGAACTAGAATTATTGGGTAGGAAATGGAAGAGATTTCAATTAAGTATAAGAAATAATTATAACAGAGCTGTCAACTACATGGTGGATTGCTTCGGGAAGTAGTGAGTTTATTATTAAGAAGGTAATTAAGCCAAGCCCAAATAATGCACTTCTCAATGGTTATAGTAAGGGGATTCAAATACCAGAGAGGTAACTGAACTTAATAAGTGGTTCTCAATTTTTTTCCAAAGCGATCATGTGACAGACAGATGATGCTGAACTGCTCCATACACACTCACATGGTTTCCTGTAAGTCAGGGCCACTAATTCTTCACATCTTCCCTGAAGCATATTAAAATACAAGCAGATGGGAGACTGTTAGCATAGAGAAAGTCTTATGTTTGATTTTTTAATGTGTTAGTAATGAAAAGCAAATCCTTCACAAATTCTTACAAAACACATTACGGGGGCCCACCACACAATGATTCTTGATGTCTGGTAAACCACAGTGCTGGAAGTGAGAAACACTGGAGCAGTTGACCACTTAGGTCCATCCCAGTTAGGAGGGGGCTGATTCTGTGAGTAGAGCATATCCACATTTTGGTTCATCTAGGAGTTACTCACATGGAAAAGTTGGAGATGAAAGCTCCTTTGGGAATCTGAACATCAAACACAACATTCTGAGGCCGTGGGGAGTTGTTTACCACTTTGGTCTGGATGATGGTGTTGGCCATTCGAGAAGTAATAGTGGACTGGACTTTATAGCTATAAATTGTTACTTGATCAGCATCTTTCTGTAATTGGCAAAAAAAAAAAAGCATAATTGTACTCATGGAAAAATTATACAGCATTTCACTACATATTTGAGGTTCATAGCTAGCCACATTTTACAAATAATCCTAAAGCATTGTTATGTAAATTCCTCAGGAATTATCAGACAGTCTCCTAACTTTTTTTGGAATATCCCTCCAGGCAGATATTTGTGTTTGTTTTGTGATAGTTTGAGATGTCTTTCAATTCTATGAGCCTTTGAATAATGATTTAAAAATCAGAAAACAAATGGAAATGAATGTGGGAAGAAATACTGGCTTAAGAAAATTTAGGAAATAATGTTGAATGTAGGATTTTAGTGTGGGGGAGAATATAGGAGTATAGAGTTGAAAGGAGACCCTGGCTGCATCTTTTTTTTTTTTTTAGATTTATTTATTTATGCATACAGAACTGGGGTACAGGCAAAGGTGCAGGGGCCGCAAGAGGATTCACCAGAAAGAGAGGGGAGCAGAACAGGCAGGCTGAAAAGTACACTGCTGAGGGGAGCAGCGGGTGAGACAGAAGTCTGCTGTGCCATGTGGATCAACTCCCTGGCTGGGGATCGAACTGGTGCTGAAGCTGTTTGGGTAGCTTGATAGTGCTGCGATTTAACTCCTTGCACCACCAGGGAAGGCTCACCTGGCTGCTTCTTTAGAGGAACAGTCAGAAGTCTCTTAAGGTGGATGTACATGTGGTCCTCAAAGTCCTATCCCACTACTTGCCTTTTACACTTTTAGATATTACAGTTTCATCTTTCAGTCCTCTTCCTCTTCCCCTCTTGAAAAAAAAAACAAAACACTAGAGGGCCCTCTCCTGTGGCACAACCGATTAGGACTCAGCACTGGAAGCGAGCAGCAGCCACTTAAGTGCAAGTTCTATCCCTGTGAGTCCCGGAGGTGACTCACATGGGTCTCCTGACCCACCTGCTGCTCCCCTCAGCAGTGTACTTGGTCAATCTGCCTGTTCTGCTCCCCACTCTGTCTCTGTTTAATACTCTAACCCTCTGTAACTCTGGACTATACCCCAGCTTTGTATGAATAAATAAATAAATCTTTTTTTTTAGATTTATTTATTTATTCATACGGAACTGGGGTACAGGCCAGAGATGTGGAGGGTGAGAGGATTCACCAGAGACAGAGAGGGGAACAGAACAGGCAGGTTGACGAAGTACACTGCTGAGGGGAGCAGCGGGCGGATCAGGAGAGGCTGCCTCGCCATGTGGATCTCCTCTGGGGCAGGCGGGAATTGAACTCATGCGGAAGTGGCTTTAGCTTCTTAGTGCTGTGCTTTAACCCACTGCGCCACCAGGGAGGGCCAAATAAGTAAATCTTTTAAAAACAACAACAACACTAGAACAGTGATTGGTGTGAGCAGCAAATTGAATACTATGAAAAGAGCATCCTGATGTTTTGCTGGGCCAGCATATGGCCTCCTTTGCTAATCTCTTGCTTGATTCAGGGCAGCTCCAGGGTAAACAGTGTTGGCAGCATCTCACCATGCCCAAAGGCAAGTTGCTAAAGGAGCCACCTGAAACATAAGCTGCTTCAGGACAGTGGCAATTATGTGACCCATTTGTTTACTTTTTTTCTGAAAGGATTTGCTTATTTCAACACTAGATGTCACCTCCCAAACCAGTCATCTACTACGAGACCTTTCAACTCATTAACATCCAATTTACCTCAAGCTAAGAAAAAAGGAGGGTAAGCTATTTGCCCTTCCTACCCTTTTAAACCTGCTTCTCACAAGTTCTGTCAGTTCGGACCAGGAAGTCAAACCCAACCCACTTCCTTTTAATGTTTTCTTGCCACGGGAAAGATGAACCACTTTGAACATCTCAGGGAGTTAGGCCAGTTCTTTCCCACAGCTACTCTTTTACTCTTCAAAGCTGTTAGATGTCAGATTTTAAATCAAAACAGATAAGCTGGAATACAGACAAATATTTGGATGAAACTTAGGCTGTTGGCAAACCTTGAGAAAAGAAAGGGCATTTTCCACTTTTGATGATGGGTTTCTTGGCTGCAGAGACACTGTCCTCTTGAATGCTGAAGTTTAGACCCACTTCCCAACAGAATTGGGCAAGGGGGTATTTCGAAAGGCAGGTTAAGTTCTCTCCATGATGGAGACAAAAGAGGCAACTCTATTGATTTCTAGATAATAGGTAACAGAAAAATCACTTAGACATCAATTTTTAACAAAATCAAAGTAAACTCACCATCACTTCCCCAGATTCTCCAGAAATGCTTCTCTGTGAAAGGAAGTTAGATAATCATTTTTCAGAGGTATGTTACTTATTACTTAGAAGGTTAAAACTGTTTACTCTCAGTCAAAAAAGTGTTTTTCAATGTACCAATTCATTCATGGAGCTAAGACATAAGTATCAACTATCCTCGAATTTTATTTTCTCACTAGCATGTTTCTCTGAGCAACTTTCCCAAACACTTTTTGGTTGCATACACATTAGTGTTTGGTGTAATGCTAAAACAATGTTTTTACATGAAAATATTCATCAAACTCGTGCTTGGTAGCATATGCTACCTTTATCTTGTGAATTTGTGTGATTTATTTTTTATTCAGTTGAATGTTTATTGGGCTACTCTGTAGGGCTTGGAACCTGCCATCCCACTGCCTGCTATCCCACTGCTTCTCCTTCCAACTCCCCTCTGTCCTGCTCACTAATCCCTATTCATCCTTCCAATCTCAGCTCATGTTGAGTTTTCTGAGAGACACTTTCTCTGACCCCCCTCAATCTCCATAAGTTTCTTTACTAAGTATTTTTCTATCAGCATGGTCACTCCTTCAAAGCAAGACTGGGAGTGCAGGTCTCTCTCCCCCATTAGACTATGCTACCATAAACAAGCTTCTGTGCACTTCCTCCTTGTGTGTGTTTGTCGGGGTGGGGTGGGGGGAGTGGCAGAGCCAAGCATGGTAACTGTCCTCTTAATCCCTTTGCTAGTGAGTTATCCAGAACATGTGCTTTCTGGTAGGCAGGTTTTAGGACATGCTATGTGATATAGTAGGATCAACAATTGTCTTCTTTTAGACAAAAGCTTTCTCTCCTGTGGTTAGATAAAGATCCTACACAAGGATTTGCTTATTGCTCAAAAACCTGGACTTTGTGAAGATCAAAAATTCATGTATAAGGAAAGGTATCAGTCAATTTAGCAGTATTCTGCAATTGCCTCCTCTTTCAACATATTAGCTCTCTATGGGGAAGCCCAACTCTTTCTGGTCTCCTGAAGGATTCACCCCCATTTTTAGAGCATGTTGTCTATGCAGCTGCTGCTGGACTCCGGGAGGCAGCGCCCGATGTGGCTGGCCCTTGTACACTCCCCCTAAGCTGCTCTTAGGTTGCAGAGAATGGGCGAAGGAGAATGCGTGGCTGCCATGGGGATTCCCTTTTGGAATTAAGGTTTACTGTACCTGATATCTCCGGATCTCTGGTACAAACTGAAATTTGCCAGGGGCCAGTTCCACAAAATCTTCATATTCTGTAAACTTTAAAAAGAATTAAGGTTGTTTTTCTATTAATTAAAAAAAAAAGATCTAGAGCAGAAAGGCAGCTAGGACAGGCATACAATTATTCATTATATTGATGACATGTAATTTTTACCTTGTTTCCTGTACTTCTGGGAAATATTTTATTCATTTTTCTTTACTGAGATTACTTTAGTTTAAAATATTGTATGTGATTCAAAGGCATATCACCACACCTCCTCAGATACATGGATATCTATTATTTTATTTCTTTATATATACAGTCTTTGGTAGGTATGTGTCAAGTGATTAAATGAAAGTATCTTCAAATTTATTGGATGCAGGAATTCATTTGGTGGGGAGGAAGGTTATTGTCACTCGTGATGAGATAGCTCCCTGGGAGAAATATTGGTTAGCTTTGGGGGCATCAGTAGTTTCCAACTGGACAGAAATATGAGATCCCTTATAATTCAAAATGAAGATATGAAAGAAGTATCAGTACCAAGTGACTGAAAAAGCACAAACCCATCTAAATGCCTTGGCTTTGTTTCCTGGCTCTGCCAATGAGATTTCCAATGCATTCTGGTGATTTTTGTTTAAGAGTTGGAAAATAAAGTTTCTAAGCAAACATTTTTGTTTTCCTTGCAAGCATGCCATTCTTGTCTTTGGCATTTTTGTAGGTAACCCACTTTACAATTATTACAACCGACTGTAACTCTCAGGATGTTCCCACAATGCATGTTGCTTTTCTGGCATCCAAACAGTTTTGTATAACTTTCAAAATGACTCAGTCCAAAACTTTCCTTGTATTGGAGAGGGCCAGTGGCCCAAAGGCGAGACTTTGAACTCTCTGGGAATGATCCTTGCACTTGGCAAGCCCACTTGTCATCCTTTCTTAACAGGAATATTTAAAGTGCCCTTAGGAGAGAAATCATCATTCACTTAGGTATGAAAAACAATAGTACTTCATTAATGACGTTCCTTACACTTTCAAGATGAGGGTTAATATATATCATCATCATCATTGCTAATCACTATTAAACTACTTGTGCTTGCATTGTGCTTGGTTGTTTATAGATATCATTCTGTTTTCATAACAACCGTTCGGGATAGATCAATTATTATTCCCATATTTACATAAGTAGGCAGCTGCGCCCATTAATGTTACGTATGGGCTGGCCTGCTGTTCAACTTAATTCACATGTGAAATACATTAATGCTTTAAAAGGTAAACTCACACTCGAAGAATTTTAACAGTGAACACTTCTACTGAGGTTAATTTTATGTAATTAAAATACATAAACGTAAAATACATGTTCTCCAAAGGGAACACAGTCGAGGGTTAGCGGTAACCATAGGCTACTTTAAGGAGCACACACACAGGCCAACTGCAAGTCGTCTTCGGGAAGTACTTACTTCTGGAAGTCCACTGGTGGGGATTTCAAAACCTTGCGATTCTGAAAGAAAAAACCAGATGAGACAGCACGTGAGTCGTTTCATTTTGCTGGGCATCTCTGCCAAGCTCCCCAGCGCGGGCTTAGGGGAGAATCCACTCTTCACTGAACCAAGTTCAAAGGAACAACAGAAGAGCACAGTTCGGTTTAAAAAAGAAGACAGAAGAAGAAAGCTCTCAAACTTCGTTCAAAAAATGGGACAAATATTTGTTCTGGAGTTCAAACCTCATCTGTGGGGGTGGATCAGACTCCCTCCCAGAGGTTATTCAAACAGCAAAGCCAGCGGCAGTCTCGGGGGTGGGAGTTAGAGGGATCAGCTGGGCGAGCTTCTTCCCTCCCCCCTTTGCTGATTTCTGCTCATCTTTAAATCAGAAAGACACTTTCTGATTTATCAGAAAAGTATCACCCTCGTTGAAGAACCAATTGAGGAGCTATACTGAGGAAAAAGAGAGGAAAAAAGTGAAAATTTCTGGAAACAAAACCTTTGATTTAAATGAAATCAGGAAGAAAAACAGCGGAAGAATCATGATGGTTTTCTGAGCAAAGCATTTATTGTCAGTATTTTTCCTACTCTCTTTGATAACTGAGTACCTATGACAAATAAGTGGGCAGGGAGCGGTGCCGATCCAAAGGACTGTTCTTCAGTGGGGAAGCTCCGCAAATTTGTTTAAGGTAACACTGTCCTGCCGCCCCAATGGTCTCCACTCAGGTTAGTGGAAAATCGATTTTCCTGAGTCCCAGAATCAGGGAAAGCCCCATCCAGAAATAGCCTGTTTTATTCCTTCCCTTTCATGGTTCAGATATAATAATATGGTCAAATAAGATTTATTAAACCCTTTGTGGTGGCAGCATTGTTACCCACATTGTCTTTAATCCTTAAAAAAAAAAATGCAGCAGTCATGTGATATATGTACAATATATTTCCCTTATTTACACTGAGGTCAATAAGGTTAAGTAAATTATTGTACCTCTCAGAATTAGTAAAATGGAGACTCAGTTCAAGGTCCAGCAGGTGTTAAAGCCTTGGCATTACTATACTTAAGAGGGGCAGGGTGGGGGGTTATCACCAGGAAACCTGTCCCAGTTGTGAATTTAGACCAGAATTTATCTGCAACCCCCAAGTTGGGCGGCAAGTTACTTGGGCATTTTTCCTGACATTGGCTTAAACAAGATGCTGTGGAGTTTGGTCAGATGTGGAAGTTTCCTTCCCCAGAATGGAATCCATGATTCATGCTATTTTGCTATCTTGGCGTTTCTCTGCCTGATGTTCCTTAATCTAGCAGAGGAAATTTATGGATCTGCTGCTGGGAACAGCTATTCTAACAGATAGATCACCAGGGGAAGTTGCATCAGAGGAAAACAGCAGGTCTGCCATGGCCTCTGAAGCATGGTGATGCAGGGCTGTTTCCAGCACATTCCACTCTACCTAGACCCAGCAGGTTCCCTTGTTCTCTGAGAGTCACTGTGGGGATTAAACTGAATGCAGGACAAACAAATCTGTTGTCTGAGATTACAAATGAAATATGTGGGATGGTATTTTCAAAACTGTGTTTTATTTATTATATCCAACCATGTGACAAAAATGAAGTGTGGCTCAGATACACTATAAAATGCAAATAGATTACATTTATCTGTAAGACATTAAAGGACTGCTTTTTTTTTTTCTGTTCTTTTCTTATTTGGTTTTACCATATGCTGATTCTAAAAATTACACTTTAACTCCAGGAGAAGAAAGGGTTTGTTTTAAAATCTATCCTATTTATTCCAAATAGAAAACAGGGTTCAAGTTAAAAGAGATATTTGTCATAGCAAATAATAATTAAAAGCAAATTGAAGACAAAATTAAATCTAAGATTAGAAATCAACTATTTGAAGAAAGAAGATAATCATGAAATAGTTGTTTACATTATCAGGAAGTGGTAGATCTTTTCAATTAATAAGGGAAGAATATTCAATAATAAGTGAAAATTAAAGGAGATTTATAATGATTAACGTGAAAGATGTTTGTAGTACTGACAATACTAATAAGTAGACATCGATCATTATGTCAAAATTATAAAGTAACATCTTCTAGAAAATATTTTATTTATTTATTTTGAAATATTTTATTTGTTTATGCATACAGTGCTAGGGTACAGACCAGAAGTGCAGGGGCTGTGAGAGGATTCACCAGAGACAGAATGGGGAGCAGAATAGGTAGATTCATTGAAATACACTGCTGAGGGGAGCAGCAGGCAAGACAGGAGAGGTCTGCTGCACCATGTGGTCACCTCCCTAGCCAAGGATTGAACTGATGCTGCAGTAGCTGTGGATAGCTTCATAGTACTGTGCTAAACCCCTTGTACCACCAGGGAAGGCATTATACAAAATATTTTAAAGGGCCATATAGCGAAAAATTTATACATTTACATGAGAAAAAGACCTAACCTTAGTTTTCATATATCATAAAAATCTACTGCCTGTGAAATATGTGATAATATGGTTTTATTTCATTTAATGAGGCTAATATTATTTTAATCCTCAAGTCTGAAAAGTACACTTTAAAAAATTTTATAACAATTAACTTATAAGCAAAGCTGTTAAAATAAGTATACCATGAAAGAATAATTCACTATATTGAGAATGGATTAGCTTAGGAAATTGAAGCTATTACTACATCAGAGATCAAATTACACATCAACAGGAAAAACTGAAATTATTTCACTTAGTAGCTACCAAGAAATAGCAATAGCTCAATAAATTTCAAAATTTATATCATTTAAAGTAGTGTTAGGAGGCAATTTTTTAAACTTGATTTTGTGTGTGTCAGGGCAGTTACTTTTATAAGCATTACTTTTATAAAGAGAAACTGTAAGACTAGTTTTTGTAGATGACATAATTCCCCATCTAGAAAGTTTAAAGAATTTCATAAAAAAGTAGTTGAAGTAGTAAGTTTGTTTAGTCAAACAGCAAGATGTAGGTTTAACCTTAAGGTCAATTTCTTCTCTATTTACTAGTGATTACATAGGAAATAGCATGAAAGAAGTACCCTTTTACCAATTCTACCAAATGTAGAGATTTTACTTAGGACAGAGATTTATAACAAATATCTTGAATTCTGATGAAATGAAGGAAAACATGAATCAATGGAGCAATTACCACTAGAAATACTAACAATTATAACAAGAGCTAAATTATCTAAATTAATATATACATTTATATAATATTGCTATCAGTGTTTCAGATGAGTTTATAGAACTTGAAAGATCTAGAAGGTGTAGACAATAAAAGCAGGGGGAAAAAGATTTTAAACAATAATTGTTTGACCTCATTTTTCAGATTTTAAAGTATATTACAAAATACAAGTCAAAACATGACTTGATGCTTGAAAATATAGGTTCTAATTAATTATATTTTCTATAGAATATAAGACAATCTAAGGCAACAATGGTAAATACATTTAGTGCTAGATATATGCTACTGGATTAGGTCATGGTATGAAAAAGAACTAACTTTAGCCCATACCTCCCCACATGTAAGAAACACTAAAAATGGTTTTCAGAATTTCATGATAAAAAGAATAATGAAAACTAAATAACTTAGTATGTGCTGGATATTTTTCAGGTGGTTAAAAAGCAAATAGAATGAGGAAAATAGCTAATTAGCATAAAGGTTTAAAATTTACTAATAGTAGTAAAGCAATAGCGTATTTGCATTCCTGTTTTACAAATGGAAGAATGGAGGTCCCTGGTTCAGTATCTTTCTCAAGGTGAGTGCAGGCAGGATGGGACCCAAGGGCTGCATGGTCATGCCTACCTGTATGCACACTTGTAGAGAGCAGTTCTCAGGGAAGGAGGCTGACAGGTTACTTTTGCTCTTCTGGGTGCCTTGGCCTCTAGAATACAGGCTGCAAAACTCACCTGATCTCACACTTCTCATTCTCTGCTGAGATAGTGCCTCTGGGTGATTGAGACTTTCTGGTACATTTTTCAAAAATAATTAGGATTTTCAACATTTTTCACTGATCATTTCATCTCTGATGATACTAATCTGATATTAAGAATTGCCTCAGGACAAATTAAACTGAAGGTAGCCTGGGTCACTCTTTTCATGCCGATAACCTATTTCCAAACCCAAAGGTCTTGGGGAAAAAACACTATGTTTGATCTCTCTTGATGTTCAAAGCACCATGGCTCCCTATCAGCATATGTGTGTATTCAGGTCACTGTGTCCTGAACCTGGGACTCTCTCACCCAGTTTCAGGTCTGGGTATCTGTCATATAGTGAATTGAAAGCATCCCCGTTATTAAAACTTCCTGATGTATATATAGGGTGGGAATCACTACCTTAAAAACTGCAGGAATGTTCACTTTTATATATTTAATATTTTGGAGGGCAGATTGAGAATTTAAAAATGTATTGATAGGCACAATACATAGTAAGTTATTAATACATATTCCAGTGTAGGCCACACCTGGAATATTGCATCCAATTATGAATGAACTAGCATGAAGGACTTTAATAAATTAGTTGTTAAACCATTGAAGGCAGTCAGTGTTTGAAAATTATTATATGAAACATATACAGATCAAGAAAAAAAGCAGTTTAAAATGGGAAGACAGAGTAGAGAAACTAATTATCCAAGTTTGAGGCCACTTGGTCAAGGAGGAGGCTCATTATGAAGTTATTGTTCTAAGGACATTGCATATCAGAATGGAGAAAATGTCAGAATCTAGGAAAATTATTTATGAACTGGCAGGAGCTGGGCAAGTGGCTTACCTATGTGGAGCCCATAGATATACCAAACAATTCTGATAAAAGAAAAAGACAACTGTGGTGTCACACTCCGAGATTTCAAAATATACTACAAAACTATGATAGTCAAGTATATTAGCACTGGAACAAAGTTAGACACACAGATCAGCGCGATAGAATTGAGAATCCAGAATAAACCCACACTTACAGGGATAGGTTCTATATGACAAAGCAGTCAAAGGTATACACTAGCAAAGACAAATCCCTTCAACAAATGGCATTAGGACCTTGGACAGCCATATGCAAAAGAATGGAACTAAACCACTATCTCACACCATATACGAAAATCAATTCAAATGGTCTAAAGAGTTGGACATGAGAGCTGAAGTCATTAAATAC